GCTATCCTCCTCCACCGCTTGTCCTCCCACCTCAACCTTCAAGGCCCTGTCCTTGAGTGGTTTAGGTCGTACCTCTCCCACCGTCTTCACTTTGTTTCCACGAATGTTTTTTCCTCCGGCCCCCGCACTGTCTCGTGCGGTGTCCCTCAGGGCTCTGTCCTCGGTCCCCTCCTCTGCACCCTCTATATGCTCCCCCTTGATGACATCATCCGCAGACATGGGGTTAACTTCCACATGTATGCGGATGACACCCAACTCTACGACCACTGATGTCCTGACAGTCGCCTGTCCGACATCGAGTCCTGGACGAGAGACAACTTTCTTCAGCTCAACGTGCGTAAAACTGAGGCCCTCCTGATTGGCTCGCGTCAGCGCCTCCGCACCTCAGGCGCTGACAGCATCAGCATCCAAGGCTGCACTCTCCACCTCTCAAAGTCAGTCAGGAACCTCGGCGTTCTGTTCGACCCTGAGCTGTCCTTTCTCCCTCACATCCGCACAACTGGCACCGCCTTCCATCACCTCCGGAACATCGCCAGACTACGGCATTACCTCACCCCTCACGCTGCTGAAACCCTGGTCCACGCCTTTATCACCTCAAGGCTGGACTATGGGAACTCTCTCCTCGCCGGCCTTCCCGGCACCTCCCTCCACAAGCTGCAGGTCATTCAGAACTCTGCAGCTCGTGTACTGTCCCGCACCAGGCTTCGGGACCACATCACTCCCACCCTCGCTCGCCTCCACTGGCTCCCCATCCCCCAGAGGATCGATTTCACGATCCTCACCTACAAGGCCATTCACGGCCTTGATCCCTCCTACCTCTCCGACCTACTATCCCCCTACCTACTTGCCCGTACCCTTCGTTCCTCTGGCTCCGGTCTGCTCCACATCCCCCGCCCCAACCACCCTACCATCGGTGGCCGGGCCTTCAGCCTCTCAGCCCCTAGGCTCTTGAACTCTATCCCCCAGTGCCTTCGCCGCCTCCTCCCTTTCCTCCTTCAAGGCCGGTCTCAAGACCTTTCTCTTTGACCGAGCCTTCAGCTCCCCTCTCGACTCTCTACCCCCTCCTCGCTCCCTCCTTCCCTCCCCTCACCCTGACCATTTCTCCCCTGCTCGGGTCCTGACCCAACTGTACAGCGCCTTGGGACGTCCTCCCGACGTGAAAGGCGCTCTATAAATGGAATCTTGTTGTTGTTGTTGTTGTCTCTGTCTACACAGGATGTTGCATTCTCACGGAACTCTCATCTTCTAGCTACTCCCTCCGTTTCACCAACTCTTGCCTTGTTCATGCCCCCCGATCACTCTGCCCAACTATTCGAGGATGAGCTTTCAACCACTTCACCTCCACCCTCTAAAACTCTATTCCAAAATTTCTCCACCTCACTCCTTCCCTTTCTGCTTTCAGAAAGTGTCCAAACATCTGTCCACTGTCAAAACATGACCACCTCGCCACCACTGTCCTCCCAGCTCGGTTCATATTCTCCCTTTGTAAAACACTTTGAGATATTCTATAAATTACATTAAACCTGCCATAAAAGTTCAAATGGCTGTATCAAAATTGTTGTAATAAAGGACTGTTGCATTGCACCATCAACCTCTTTTCACATAGCCCTTGCTGTTGCTGGGTAATGCAGACCTCAGCATGACGAGGGAGCTGCCACTAACTGTACATGCGTATGATATCATAAAGTAGACATTACCAGCCATTCTGTTGTGGCCATTTCTACAGCTTTTCTACAGGTTATAGAAAAGTTACTGTATAATGGGTATCTTTCACAGCCTATTTAATTTTGCTACACTGGAAGTTTTTTGCACAAAATTTAATGAGCTGTGAAAAATAAATACAATTTTACCTTTAATATGATAAATAGACAAGTGCAACCCTTAGCAGTTGCTTGAAAACATAGCGTCACAAACAAGAGTTGGACCATTACACAGATAAAGTGGGTAAACAGTATAGGGTGATCATGTTCTTATTTCTACCATTCAGAGTCTCTCCATTGGAAATATGCCCATCTCTATATTTTATCAATTGTTACTCTGAACTTTTCTGTCAAGGTCAAAATACCTCCTCACTGTGACAATCAAGACACATTACAATCTAACTCATTCTTTTCCAGGGCTTCAATATAATGGAACCTTCCTCCATCTTCCTCCCCTTTTCACTGCCTACAAACTATTAAAATCCAAGTTTGAAGCCACTTCTCATTCAATGATTTTGTTTTCTCTCTTTTCAAACCAAGTAGTGCGCACCACGGTGGACCTAGGTTCTCAATAAAAACAATATGAATGTTACTCAGAAACAAATAAATGACTCTTAACAAAGAGACTATAAAAAAGAAACACTGAGCAATAATGACATTGTGTAAAAATGATTTCTAACTGTTGAGAAAACAGTGTGCAAACATCAACATCCTATCAAAGTACTGGGGAATACTGAAGAAATAACTTTTGTGTTCATTTTAAATGAAAAGTCACCAATAGACAAAGCTGAATTTCAACA